TCTGTCATGGGGGAAGAATCACATAAATACACCATGTTAGTCTTGTCTGCACTCTTTGTTTTTGGTATGTGTGTACTTGTTCTCTTCTCCCCCCTCCCTCTCTCTCTCTCTCTCTCTCTCTCTCTCTCTTCCTCTCTCTCTCTCTCTCTCTCTCTCTCTCTCTCTCTCCTGCTCTCTCTGTTGTTCTCGTTTATAAACAGACACAATGTCAAAGACAGACAAGTTGATTATTGTGAACGTTTTAACATAATTACCATAAACCTGTCTCCAATTTTTTACAGAACAGCAGAAAAATATCTAACCAAACCGAGATCAAAACACAATAGGAGAAATCAAATCTTTAGAGCAATCGTCAATGTGATTAAATTCGTCTTTGTTCTGTCCCGGTCGTTTTTGGGCTAGTTCAATTCTGAAATTATGCAGACTGAGCCCAAATACGTGAAATTATGCGAATCTGTTAAGTTTAACAAAGAATGATAAAGGCAAATAATCAGAAATTATGCAAAAACTGATCAAATTTTGCTAAATTATGCGGGGTGCATAAAAAAATGAATGACAGACTCTTTTTAAAAATGCGCAGTGTCGTGCAGGGTGAAGGAGATTCGGGGACAGAGAGACGAGTAAAATGATGTCAAACCAAGTTATACCACAAACATAGACTTTTTATTTTAATACAAACGCATCAACAACAAGGCAATCCAATTAAACATTTGACATTGGAAAAAGCTTCTCGAGTATCCTATAAGACGGTGTAATTTGCATACATAGAAAAAGTCATCTACAGGTAGAACTAAAGGAAATTCATTTGTGTACTTTTATTGCTTTACCTTATCATTCTCTTTATAGCATCACAGACGTCCTACCTCCCTCAAACTACCTATCACCCTCTGTGGGTTTCATCCCCATCTCTCTCTCTCTCTCTCTCTCTCTCTCTCTCTCTCTCTCTCTCTCTCTCTCTCTCTCTCTCTCTCTCTCTCTCTCATTTTCTCTGTCTCTATTTCACTCTCTCTTTCTCCCTCTCTCTCTATCTGTATCTGTGAATCACACATACACATAAACACACACATACATACACACATACATGCATATAAACGAAGCAACATAAAGAAGAGAGACTAAAAGAGGAGAAGAGAGTCAAGGAGAAACAGAGAAAACGATACAAGCGAGATCCAGGCAATAGACAAGTAATCTAATGTTATATGAGGCACCTCTGTCATTTAATATGAGATCATAGAGTCATCGCAGAGGCTATAAAGCATACAATCCCATAGTCAAATCAGGAGATTTCAACACAGAAGTTAGCACATAGGCAAGTATTTAGTAATCGAAGCTTTGCAATAGAATCAAAGTCTCTATGAGATCTGCATAGATCTGTAAGACTGAAACACATCATAATAATATATACAATAATAGAAAACATTCTGAAGGTAAAGTAAGAGTAAACAATTTGTACAACAGGAAACGATTCAATAACTAGTAGTTCGTAAGGCCTATAGATGTCAAAGCTGCTCTCAGAATCAAATAGGGAAGGGAAAAACTAACAAAATAAGACACACAATTTGTGCATAAGGATGAAGTAAGACACGAGCAACAAATCACTAATTGTTAACATCACTTACGAAATACATTGGAAAAATATTTCCATAACTTCGACAAACAATGTAAAAAGGATGGCGAAATGATGGATACAATTGACGGTTTAGAATATATGTTGACGTACGTAGATCAATGTTGACTGAGGCCTCTGACGAGGTCATGGGGAATGGGCGAACTGTTGAGACTCATACAAGGATATAATAGACGAGTGAAAGTAAAATATAACACCTACTACCCCTAAACCACACACACGCAAGCGCGAGCGACCGTGAGAGCACACGCGTAAACATCACACCCACACACATACAAACACAAAAACGCGCTCACACGCACACACAATTTTAACACACTCACACA